GGGGGAGAGCGACAGAGTGAGAGAATGTGAAAATGAAAAGGTAGGAACTCTGGTTTGAAACAGGAAAACAAATTGATTGCTGGAAGTTTGTAGAAATCAATTCCATTTTGTCTTTTTCATTTTTTTCTAAGCTTGATTTCATGCAGTCAGTGAACAGGAGCTGCTTTCGTAGCAGGAAGAAACCTTCAGTACAGTTTACTAATTCTCAGAAAGTGCAGCGGACATTCAACAAAAATGCAATATCGTGACTTGTTCCCTCAGGAATTATGACCCCACTCAAATAACAGAAGAGAGAAATGCCCTAAGAGTGCAGTCTGAGGAAGTGTTCCTTCCTTCCTTCAACAAGTAAAAATAACCTTGTCTTACGTTTGCATTTTTAGAGGACCGTAGCACGTGACGTTAGAGTTTCAGGCTCAGGTCCAAGCCAAGTGACTTACTGTCGTTAGCAGAAAGTAGAATGATTAAAAATAAAAGGAGTGCTCTTTCATTGGCTCATTTATCTGTGGTTGGATCGCCACTCATCCATGAGGCCGTGCAGTAGATATGAGTTCACTCAGACAAGGGACGGATGTTTCGACCAGTGCTGGAGCAGGAGGTGTTAATTTTCCTAGAAGCAGAGCTTTAGTCATGGCAGTGGACTCGCCATCAATGTCAGCGTGTTGATCAGCATCAGCAAGGCAGGCACCCCACTACCAGGCCTGGGGATTTGGGCTGGAGCTTGTTAGATGCCAACTTGACTCCTGAAAATACGAAGTTATAGAATAATTGAGAAGATCCAAGATACTAAAAAAAAAGTACTGATGGAATAAGCCACCAAAAGCTTTACTGAAAGGCGAATTTTGTCTTTCTCTGCTTTACTGAGGCATTCAGAACGTGGGCCCTGGTGACGCCTGGGGCCGGATAAACCTGCTGTGCTGGGGCTGCCCAGTCCAGTAGAGGATGGTAAGCAGCATCCTCAGCCGCTACTCCCGAGATGCCAGGAGCATTTTCATTGCCCCGTTTTGGCAACAGAAACTTTCTCTGGGTATTGCCACATGCACCCAAGGTGAGGAAGGAGCAAACTCTTCCTTCGTCGAGAAAAGAACCACAGCTTTTGAGGCGCATAAAGGAGCAGGGGTGTGTTTTATAGGAGAAATTATCCCCAGAGACATCGTGTGTTCAGATATCATAATTTTACCTCATCACCATAGCCTTAAGGTAACTTCTGACCGAAAGGTTTTTCTTTTTCGTCATCAGTTAGATAAGTGATTACAGCCTCTGTCATGTTAACAACAAAGTTAAGTGTCAGATGAGGTGTGCAGGCAGGTTTCCTCGCAGAGAAGGCTCTGCTGGTGGGTGAGGGAAGCATCCACTATGGGCAGAGGGAAGCTGGCATCTGAAAGTGCGTCGCTGAGGGAGCTGGCTGGCTTTCTGTGTCTCATGGGGCATACGCTGCATTGTGTGGGATGATTTTGTATTAGCAAAGGGAAACCCCCACTCTGAGAGAGCACTGAAGTGAAATCCCTCTTTTGGAAAATACTTCATTTGTTAATGATGTATTAAATCACTGCTTGCTTTGGCAAGACTCACCAAGCAGCTCGGAAGCTGACGGGTGTTGCAAAGCTCAGTGAAGTTTTCAGCAGGCGGCTCTGGTGAACATTCAGGGACCATCAGGGACCATCAGTGATTTCGGAAGGAAATGTACAGGAGGAGGTCCCTTCTGTTTGAAATGCTGGAGTCAAAATCCAAAAAGTTCAATACACCATGGGTAAAACGTGGTTTTAACAATGTTGTTAAGCCCATGGCTTAATGTCGTTGTGTGACCCATTTTGCCGTGCAGTTTACAGCTGACTTCGTGGGTGTGCAGCTGTCCTGGCTTGTTGGCTGAGAATTTGCTTTTCCTTCTGATGGAGTGATCTGTAAAGGGGTACCTGTCCCATGGTCACAGGAGACCTTCTGAAACTTGTGTGAAACTGGCTTAGACAGGATGGTTCTTGCACTGAGGCCCGGGGCTTGGTGGATGCACAATAAAGTGGAAGTACATATGCAAGGGAGCGGCAGCCAGTCAAGGGTTCCTCTTGTAGATGAGGCCAGTGAGACTCACGGAGGTGAGAGGACACCCCCAGCGTACTTCAGTGAGGTCGAAACATCCTTATGTCACTCTTCTTAAGTCACTTTTGTATCAAAATTGCTTAGACCAGTTCATAGTTCTGGGCAGGAGAATGTGTTGCCAGAACTTCAGATTGCTTCCTCAATCTATTTTCAAACCAGAAATAAAATAATTAGCAGCAAGTCCATTGTTCAGGGCACTGAATTTTAATCAGATGACTGTGCATAACTGTACATACTTCAAATGTCCTTTTCAGCCTTTACTCTCAGTCCCACACTCGATGCCCTTGGCCATTCTCTCATTGTCTGTGGACACCGTTCTTTAGATAAACTTAGAGCCTCTTAGGATTGTGAAATCATGTAATTCATGTAATGTAAAGAAAGTTGCTTGAAACTGTGCTGTGACCCATGCCAAAGAAAACATGGGAAATACATTTCTTTCTCAAATTCCTGGTGACAGTTCAACGTCTTAGCTCCTGCCGGTGAGTACAGGCCATACCTAGTCACAGGCGAGGAAAGATGAAAAGACTTTGCAGAATGTGAAGTAGAGGTTGAAGGTCTCATGAAGGCACCTTGCCCCCTCCATCTCAGCCGTGCAGGTTGTATTACTAGAGATTTGAGGACCAGGAGGGAGGAGGGGAGGTAGTTATGGAAACTATAACCTGGGACAGGAAGTTAAGATGGCAGGTGTGTTTGCTGTTGGACATGGGCCAGCCCTTCGGGGAAGGGCTGTGTCCCTCCTGCCAGGGATGAATAGGCAGGAAGTGTTTAATCTGCTCCTCATGAGAACCAGCTTCAGGGAGATACATGCTGGAGTCTGTGGGCCACCCTTCTAGGGGGACCACATGGGTGGGATTTGTGTGGTTTGTCTACTGAGGTTCCCTCCTGGCTGGTCTGTGTCTCGCTGGCTGTTCACTCGTGGCACAGATACTGACTGAGAGCCTGGGATGGGCATGGCCCTGTTCACCATGCTCCCCGGCAAGTCCGGGGTTCTAGATACTTCATTGTCGGGGCAGGAACGGACAAATGAAGATGTGGTGTATCTGGTAGTGAGGAGAGCTGTAGAAATAGAAGCAGCTGGTTAGAGGGTCCTGAAGGTTAGGGGAGTGGGGGCTGAGCAATGTGAAGTTTTCCAGGAAGTAGACAAGTCAGGATGGTGGCGAGAACAAGGTGGGGTGTGGAGGGCCAGACTGGGCCGGGCTGGGGGCCCCTCTGTTCCCACTGAACTAGCTAGAAGTCACTGGGAGGATCTGAGCAGAGAGGGGATAAGATCTGACTTACATTTTAATGGGTTTACTCTTTTCTCAGGGCAGGGGGGTAGACTGCGTGAGGTGAGGATGGAACAGTCGAGGTGAGGATGGAACAGTCCAGGTGAAACGTACAGATGGCCCCGACCCACCTCGCCAGGAAACCCTTCCCAGGCCGTAGGAATTGCTGTTAAATCCAGAAAAATGAAATCCACGCAGATGAAGTGGAAAGCAGGCACTCAAGCGTCTTTGAGCATACCGCGAACACGAGACACAAAAGCCCACTGTTCCTGGGGGTGTATGTTTTGGCTGGATCTCCTCTTGCACAAAACACACACACACACACACACGTGCACGCAGACACATGCTAGCTGAAACATAACCTGTGTTCCTTTATACTATATAGTTTAAATATAAACTCTCCAAAAGTTTAAATGTCAGCCGTGGAATTCAGTGTGTCTACAAGGGTCTTGCATTCCACCGTTTGAACCCATTTAACTCTTTACTAACTATTATAATTCTTGAGTGCCTTTTCATCCTTCCACAATACATGTAATGTCTCTCTTTTTACTGGTAGGTCTTGGAGACAAAGGTGTGCTGGCTGACGATTTATGACAAGTGACAGCTTCGAGTGGACACCACCTCTAACTAGAGCCACTTTTGGGGCGGAACCGTGCTTGGAAGAGCGAAAGGTGAGGGTCTAGAAATACTGTCCCGATCGCACGTGAGGGAGGCCGCTCTCCCAGTCTGTTGTCACCCCCCAGGTCCTCTGTCCTAGCTGACAGTCTCCTCTTCCCACACATAATCGAACCGTGGATGACTGCCATGGTGCTGGGTTTTGATTCTGGCCAGAGTGGTTTAGCTTCACAGCTTTCAATTGGAAAATGGACAGTAAAGCCTGTTTTTGGCAAAAGAGTTCAAGGGAGGTTAAAAAGAATTGTCACCTGTTAACTAAAAAGAACATGAGGGTCAGTCTGCTCATGAATGAGGGGAAAGGCATCGCCTTTACAGCCTGGCATCTGAGACCGGATTTGGAGGCCATGTGCCCAGTGTGAGACAGTCAACCTCTTGGAAGATGGGTTGTTCTGTGTCTGAGGCAGGTAACACGAGGACCCGTGTCACAGGCCTTTTGAGGTGTACGTGATCGATGCCCAGCATTTAGCATGGCTTATGTACACGTCCTGTGTACCCCCTTCAACAGACACCACGCGCTGTTTTCCCGAGGCAGTGCCAGCCTTTTTAGCTGAAGACCCATTTTGTGAGTTCTTCAGACAAGCCTCCAAAGCAGAGAAGGTTGTGTAGACGCTCACACGTTGGTGTTACTAGGTAACCGCAAGCATATCTCCACTTCAAAGTCAGTCAGTCCGTTAACCGTGATTGGAAAACAGAAGTTTTTGTAAGAGAAAATGAGTTAACTATGCCATATGAATACCAACGTGGTCTTGTCTGTCACTGCAGATACACTACAGTGGAGGGTTCTTGTTCAAAGAATGCTGCCAATCGTGGTTAGCACGCGGGGCAGCGGCTCCGACCCCTCACTGCACACCAGACCCACGTAGAGGCTCTGCTGACCAGGAGAGCTGGGCCCCACCCTGAATTCCTGATTCCGTAGGTCAGTCTCCATCAGGCACAGTAATTTCCATTTGCGGAAGGTCCCCAGGTGATACAGGTGCTGCATTTTGAGAATCACTAATCCAGAGAGTCGTTTTTACTCCTGTGAGCGAGCGCAATGTCAGTATTTGTTGTTCAAAACTACATTCAATCAAATACGAAAAGAAAAAAAGAAAGAAAGAAAGGTTGTGGCTATTTAAACTGTACTCCTGCGTTCATTCTGTTGTCTGCATTTCCTAACATGCGCAAGGAAAGAAATTGAAAGGTCGCTTGACACCCAGCGAGTCCACCCTGTCCCGCCAGGGGCATCAGTCGTGAAGGGAACACAGACTTTGACACCAGTAGCCCTCAAGGCCCCAGGACGCGGGATCTCTGAATTGTGACCCTTCCTTCTCGTGCAGAAGTAGAGGAAGTGTCTGTTTGGAAGGCTGTGGTTTTTTCCCTCTCTGCAAACATATTAGAAATAATGAGGTAACCAGGCCCGGTTCCTTTCAAGGTGATTTATCTGCCTCAGTAAATGAGAGGGAAAAACCCATTGTCTGTTGAAGTATTTGATGTTCCTTATTGAAGAGATAGCTTTAAAATTCCTCGAGGCATTAGCCGAACCAGGGGAGCTTTAGACACCTCTGCTGTCTGGTGAGAGGCCCTCATCACTAGATGACCTTCCTCATGAGGGCGTTGACTGTGGCCGAGTCCTCCGCTGACAGAGACAGACGCATTACCTAATTTGCTAACAACAATTTAGGAATTGGAACATAACCGAGGATGCAGTTAAACTGAGCCCGGGGGCGACTTGATCTTGTGTTCTTTATTTTCAGTTTTGCACACAGCCTGGGGCCGCATGAGAACAAATTATTAGGGAATCATCCTAATTTAAACTTCCTAGTGAAGTTTAAATCTGGGTTCGATTTTCCGTCAGTGTTCTAGCAAATGCTGCTGCTTTAAGCTCTTGTAATTCTACTTGGTGAGACGGCTGTCATTGGACGTCTGTACTGAGAACTTGGGTCTGAAGCGTGTTTGGGAGAGCAGGGCTGCAGGTCTCTTAAGGCTGTGGCATTTCAGCTGTGTGTGTGAGAGGAAAACCTGTTCCTCCTGGGGACCGTGGCTTGCACACCTGGTTGTACTGATGCTGGGATCGGGGTCGGGGGTAGGAGGGTGCGTGTCCGTGTTGACTGACTTCAGAGGTGCCTGTGGGCGTTAGGGCAAGTTGAATGGCAGGTCCCAGGCTGGTAAAATTAGGGGCAATTGCTAAAACCCTCTCAGGCCGTTTTAATCCTATTAGAAAAGTGCTCTTTGTCTCTTCCCTCACAGAACCGTAGGAAAGATACACTACTTTTTTAGATGTTTTCATGTGGTAACTACGTTTTTCTCCTGGAATTCCACCCAGTTTGAAGTCTCAGTGCCTCCATGAGTGATTTTCCCCTCAACTCACATGCATCAGTCTCTTTTTTGCTGTCGATCTCTCCCCCTCCCCTTTTGTCCTGACCACAACCATTAGTCTTGGATTAAATATTTAAACATTACCTTAAATTCTTTTCATGCTTGCCCTTGACACAATTATACATGTCTGGGGGAAAACGTCTCTAGTGCAGTTTAAAAGAAAAATCTCCTAAAATGATTAACACAGAAGGAAAAGTCATAATATATTATGGATTAAAAAGAAACCTGAAAACATTGTAGCACACATGTTGTAAGAAAGTTCAAAATGGTAAAAAGATGGAAACTGAAAAGTCAAGATGCTTCCCTCTCCGTGTCTCTCTCCTGCCTGTCCCCTGAAATGTGGACTGTTGTTGAGAGTATTTTTACTTCAGATGTTTTGCTCACCCTCCTTCCTTGTCTTTAGCGATTCCTTCTGTTTTATAGCTGGAAAATCACACCATTTTATGGTTACGTCCTCATGTATTTAACCATGACATTTCTGTTGTTTCCAGTGTTCAGCTCTTAGAACCAGCATAGCAATGGGAATCCCAGAATAGACTTGGATGGGAAATGCTGTAAAATAAGTAAGAAATGGAATACTGTATTCCAAGAGTTTAACAAATTCTGATTACTGATTGTTATTTGTTTTTTTCCCCACAAAACACCTAATAGTTGAAACAATTATAATCTTTTGATTGAAAAATGCTCTTTCCATCTCCTCTGACTGCCTTCATTTAGAATGACGATCTCCAGGTCCATCCGTGTTGCAGCAAATGGCATTATTTTATTCTTCTTTATTGCTGAGTAGTATTCCATTGTATAAATATACCACAACTTATTTATCCAGTCATCTGTCAGTGCACACTTAGGTTGCTTCCATGTCTTAGCTATTGTAAATAGTGCTGCTATGAACATTGGGGTGCATGTATCTTTCTGAATTAGAGTTTTCTCCAGATATATGCCTAGCAGTAGGATTGCTGGGTCATATGGTAAGTCTATTCCTAGTCTTTTGAGGAATCTCCATACTATTTTCCACAGTGGCTGCACCAAACTGCATTCCCAAAGCAGTGTAGGAGGGTTCCCTTTTCTCCACAGCCTCTCCAGCATTTGTCATTTATGTATTTTTGAAAGATGGCCATTCTGACTGGTGTGAGGTGATACCTCAGTGTAGTTTGGATTTGCATTTCTCTAGTAATTAGTGATGTTTAGTGTCTTTTCATGTGCCTGTTGACCTTGATATGTCTTCTTTGGAGAAATGTCTGTTTAGGTCTTCTGACCATTTGAGGAGGGGGGGTTGTTCTTTTTTTTGCTATTGAGTTGTATGAGCTGTTTGTATATTTTGAAAATTAAGCCCTTGTTGGTTGCATTGTTTGCACATGTTTTCTCCCAGACCATAGGTTGTCTTTTCATTTTGTTTTTGGTTTCCTTTGCTGTGTAAAAGCTTATAAATTTCATCAGGTGCCATTTGTTTATTTTTGCTTTCATTTCTGTCGCCTTGGGAGACTGACCTAAGAAAACACTGGTACAATTTATGTCCAAAAATGTTTTCCCTATGTTCTCCTCTAGGAGCTTTATGGTGTCCTGTCTTATATTTAAATCTTTAAGCCATATGCAGTTTATTTGTATTGTGTGAGGAAGTGTTCTGACTTCATTGATTTACATGCGGCTGTCCAGCTTTCCCAACACCACTGCTGAAGAGACTGTCTTTTCTCCATCGTATATTCTTGCCTCCTTTGTATAAGATTAATTGACCAGAGGTCTGCAGGTTTATTTCTGGACTCCCTGTTCTGTTCCATTGATCCATATGTCTGTTTTGGTGCCAGTACCACTTTGCTTTGATTACTGTAACTCTGTAGAATTGTCTGAAGTCTGGGAGGTTATGTCTCCAGCTTTGTTGTTCTTCCTCAGGATTACTTTAGCAATTCTGGGTCTTTTATGGTTTCACATAAATTCTGGGATTATTTGTTCTAGTTCTGTGTTAATGTGATGGGGATAATTGAGGGTGATCACATTAAATTTGTAGATTTATTTGGGTAGTATGGCCATTTTCATAATATGCTTCCATTCCATGAACATGAGATATCTTTCCATTTCTTAGAGTCATCTTCAGTTTCCTTTATCACTGTTTTCTAGTTCTCAGCATATATGTCTTTCACCTCCTTGGTTAGATTTATTCCTAGTATTTTATTATTTTTTTGATGTGATTTTAAAAGAGATTGTTTTTTAACTTTCATTTTCTAATATTTCACTGTCATTGTAAAGAAATGCAACAGATTTCTGCTTGTTAATCTTGTATCCTGCTACCTTGCTGAATTGGTTTATCATTTCTAGGAATTTTTGTGTGGAATCTTTAGAATTTTCTATATATAGTATCATGCCATCTGTATATAATGACAATTATACCTCTTATCTTCCAATTTGGATCTCTTCTACTTTATTTTCCTCTTTTCTGATTTCTGTGGCTAGGGCTTCTAATACTATGTTGAATAGAAGTGGTGACAGAGCATCCTTGTCTTGTTTCTGAATTTACCAGGAAGCCTTTCAGCTCTTCACCATTGAGTATTATGTTGGCTGTGGCTTTGTCATACATAGCTTTTATTATGTTGAGACATATTCCCTCTGTACCCATTTTGGTGAGAATTTTGATCATGAATGGATGTTACATTTTATCAAAGGCTTTCTCTGCATCTGTTGAAATAACTGTGTGGTTTTTGACTTTTTTTGTTGTTGATGTAGAATATCACATTGATTGATTTGCATATGTTGAACCATCCTTGTGACCCTGGGATGAATCTCACTTGATTATGGTGTATGATCTTTTTTATGTATTGTTGGATTGACTATATATATATATATATATATATAGAGAGAGAGAGAGAGAGAGAGAGAGAGAGAGAGAGAGAACTGTCTTTGTCTGGTTTTGGTCTCAGAGTGATGGTGGCATAGAATGGCTTTGGGGGTGTTCCCTCCTCTTCATTTTTTGGGAAAAGTTTGAGAAGGATTGGTATAAGTTCTTCTTTTACATGTTTTGTAGAATTCCTCAGTGAAGCCATTTCATTCTGGACTTTTGTTTGCAGGGGTTTTTTATTATTATCATTATTATTACAGATTCTGTTTCACCACTAGTGATCAGTCTGTTCAGATTATCTTCTTGATTCAGTCTTGATGGACTGTATGTTTCTGAAAACTTGTCTGCTTCTTCTAGGTTGTCCAATTTGTTGGTATATAATTGTTCATAGTATTCTCGTACGGTTTTTTGTATTTCCATGGTATCAGTTGTTATTTCTCCTCTTCCACTTCTTATTTTGTTTATTTGGGTCCTCTGTTTCCCTCTTGGTGAACCTGGCTAGAGGTTTGTGGATGTTGTTTGCCCTTTCAGAGGACCAGCTCTTGGTTGTATTGATTTTTTTTTGTATTATTTTTTAATCTCTATTTTATTTCCTTTCTGATCTTTATTATTTTTTCCTTCTGGTGACTTTAGATTTTGCTGTTATTCTTTTTTCTAATGCTTTTAGGTGATAGGTTAGGTTGTTCATTTGAGACTTGGTTTTTGAGGAAAACCTGTATCACTGTGAATGTCCCTCTTAAGACTGCTTTTCCTACACTGCATCCTATAGATTTTGTGTGGCTGTGTTTTTATTGTCATTTATCTGAAAGTATTTTTTAATTTCCTCTTTGTTTTCATTGATGATCCATTGGTTTCTTAGTAGCATGTTGTTCAGTTTCCATGTAACTGTTTTTTTTTCCCCACTTAACTTTCTGTGAGTGGATTTCTAGTTTCATGCCATTGTGGTCAGAAAAGATGCTTGAAATAATTTTATCCTCTTAAAATTTTTGAAGTTTGTTTTATGTCTGAATATGTGGTCAAGCCTAGAGAATGTTTCCTGTGCACTTGAAAACAGTGTGTATTCTGGGATTTTTAGATGAAATATCCTGAAAATGTTAATTAAATCTAACCATTCTATTAGATTATTTAGAATCTTTGTTGTCTTATTTTCTGTCTGGAAGATCTGTCCATTGATGTGAGTAGGGTGTTAAAAGTCTCCTACTATTACCACATTTCTGTCAGTGTCCGCCTTTATGTCTGTTTGTATTTGCTTTATGGATTTACATACTCCTTTATGGGGTGCATATATGTTAGCCAGTGTAATATCCTCTTCTTACATTGATCTTTTTATCATTTATTTAGTGTCCTTCTTTATCTTTCTTTATGGCCTTTGTTTTAAAGTCTATTTTGTCAGATAAGAATATTGCTACCCCTACTTTCTTGTCATTTCCATCTTCGTGAAGTATTTTTTTCCATTTCTTCACTTTCAATATGTGTGTGTCCTTTGCCCTGAAGTCAGTCTCTTGAAGGCAGCATATTGTGGGCTCTTGTTTTGTTATCCAATCTGACACTCTATCTTTTGATTGGAGCATTTAGTCCATTGACATTTAAGGTAATTATTGATAGATATGTATTTATTGCCATTTTAAACCTTGGTTTCCAGTTGATTTTGTATTTCTTCTTTGTTCCTTTCTTTTTCTGTCCATTCTTCCTTTTGTGGTTTGTTGGTTTTCTTTTCTACTATGGTTGTATTCTCTTCTTTTTGGTTTTTGTGAATCTGTTGTATGTTGTGATTTGTGGTTACCTTCTTT